GGCAGCTCAGCTTCTGTAGATCTTGCGGGAAAATTGTTTTGTTTCCTGTGTGTAGCATCCTCAGCCCGAGCGGTGGTGTCGCACGCCGGTGCTGCTGGGCCCTTCTTCGGGCCTGCTGCATAGCTGTTGCACTTGGCACAGCTCGGGGCACAGGACTCGGTGGACACTGGACTGTTCCTGTTCTCATCACAGTAGAGATGGAGCCTTCTAGCCTCCAAGCAAGGACACAGAGGTGCCTCCCATAATGCATCTGCTGCCCACATCAGAATAAAACGTGGACAACAGAAGCCATGGGACTGGCTTGGCGCAGGCTCTGGGATGCCTGGGGCAGGGTTCACAAACACAGCACACGTGTAGAGGAGACCGAGGACACATTGCCACCGACCTCCTCCAACCCTTCCTATCTCAGTGAGTATTACGGGTGATAGGTTGCTGGGGAGGTGGACAGAAGTGACCTGGAAGGGGATGGTGAGTAAGTTAGTGGATTCTTTCTTCCACACACACCTTCCGTCTGGTCTGAACTCAGCAAGGAGGAAGGCTGGGGCTCTTCAGGGACCTCTCTGGCCAGCCTGGTGTCTGTCCTGCCCCTACCTCTAGGGCTGATCTAGACAGGACAACAGGAGACTCCTAACTGCTCCAACCTTTGTCTCCTGTCTGCCCTGCCTCCTCTGACTGGCCCACATGTCCCAAGACCCAAAGCTGACTGGTGCACACTTCAGCAGCATTCTTTGCTCAAAGGAGAAAAAGCAAAATCTTTAACAAAGACCATAAGGCCTGGCAAGGTCTGGTCTCAGCCACAGCCCCGCTGATGCCCCACCCTCACCCAGCCTGTCTCTTCTCGTGGCCTCACACCTGTCCTCCCCCACGTGCCACTGGGCCTTTGCACAGGATGTTTGTGCTGCCGGCCTGGAACAGCCCTACACCCTGCCCCTCATCTCTGCCTCACAAGCCTGTAAACATCATTCACATCTTAATGGCAGGACTCACATCAAGCACCTTCCCTACAGCCCCTAGACAAGATCAAGCCCTCCCCTTGGGCTCTAGCCTAAGAGAGGAAAAATAAACATGGCTTTATTTCCCATTCACATTTGGAACCAGCTGAGACATAGAGCAGTTGGGGAGATCTGTACATGGATCTTGATGGAGCCACGTTGGAGGGCTGCGACTGGTCCTGTGGCTGTGAAGTCTCGCTCCTCCATTCCTACCTAGCCACACACATAGCCCCAGACACAAGCCTTCCCCGTGGGGACAACTGGAAACACCACAAGAACAGAAGAACAGGGAGACCAGATCTGGGGTGGGAGTGCTGGAATGTGTACATTTTGGGAAGAAGAGCTTAATAAAAAGCAAATGAAATTACAAAGGGATAAAAGTGAATCAATATTCAGAATGAGGGAGGAGAGGAGAATGAAGGATTTAGTTTTTTTAAGCCTACAGAATTCCACAAAAAAATCACAAATCCAAAACAAATAGTTTTTTAAATCGGTGGATTGCCTCATTCACCTCTATAATACCTCATTCTAGTATTTCTCCACTTGAAATTCGACACATCTGGCAGCCAGGAGATGTTCTGTGGACCAGCCTCTGGCTCGGTGCTCCTCTGTCCCTCCCCCTTGGGCCACACACTTCTGACACCACGTGCCACGGTACTTGCATACTCTGCGTCCTGATACAGGAGAGGTAGTATGGGACTGGCTGTTTGTGCTGGGCTAGCCAGCACACAGAAACATCTCACTGAATCCCAGTCCATCTGCCCTGACCCGACCCTGGAAATGCCCATGGCCTCCCCAGTGACACCTGATACTCGGGGACATAGGAGGGGAAGAAAATCATGTCTTAACTGGCTGCAGTTCAAACCTCTGGTTGCTGAAAGTGTACAGGAACTAGGGCTCTGTGGACATAGCATTAAGCCCACCCCCAGGCCTGGGTAGGGGTCTGTGCAGACATCATTGACTTCATGGTAAACCACGTCCAAGATCAGCCATCTCCTTGGAGAGAGGAAAGGACACCCCTCAGCACACTCAGTTCCCTCTTCTCAGACTGAGCAAGCAGGTGCAGTTCCTGGGGAAGAAGGCCAGGAGAGGCCCGCACCTCTCCCTGAGAACGGATGCCCCTCCCTCGGCGCGGACACCAGGAGTGGGAGATAAGCATCTGTTTCCCTTCCTGGCAGCGGACGGCAGGTGCAGTTAGATGTTTGGGGTAATAATTTCATACCCGACCTTCCCCCGGAAAGCATTCCCCCTTGCGTTCCCCTGATGAGCACAATGTCTGGTATAAAACAGCCCTCCACGGTCACTTGGTGGGAGGAAGAAGGAAGAAAGAGTGGATGGGGAAGAAGCCTTCAGTGTGGCAAAAGTCCTTTTGGTTCAAAAACACTCTTCTTGCTCCTCTGCTCCAGAAATTGAGGTCACTGGAGAGAAACTCAGGGCCAATAACACTGGAAATGTGCATCACCAGGGCCCACGCTTTGTGCCACGGAGAGTCACAACCACATGCACTTTGGTGCAAAGAACAGCCCCCAAGCATGTGGAGATCTGACACTCAGGCCTTGGGAGCTGCCTTCTCTGGTCCACTCATCAAAACCAAGTGGTCACACTGACTCTGGGGCCAGAGTACATTAGGCAGTGTAGAGGATAGTGGAAAATGAATGGGGGAGACCTTAGCTGTTCCGCCTCACCTTTTAGAGTCAATATGCAATACAGGCACAAAAACAGACCAGCCAGTGCAGAGGGGTGGGGCCAGCCCTCACTGGGACACCAGAGCCCACTTAAACTTAATCAGCTACAAGCTTGCTAGTTTCGCAGTGGTATTTGGAAGCTGGCTACAGGGGTAATGAGCAAACTCTGCAAACTGGGGCTTCCAGCCCAGCCCAGCCAAGCCCCATGTTTAGTATTTGTTTTGCAGAGTACCTTGGGACCCCTGGATCAGAAGACCCCCACACTATGGTCACCTGATTTATAATAAAGCCACCACTGCAGCCTAATGGGGGCGGGGAGGAATGGTCTTTTCAGTAAATGGTGTGGGGTCATTTAGATATTAAATGGGAAAAAAGTAAGTCTTGAGGCTTCCCTTTCCTTATACACAAAGATTAGTGAAAGATGGATCAAATACCCAAACGTGGCAAGATACAGCATGTTTTTTGGGAGGAGACTTAGGAGACTTGTGGATAGCAGAATAATTCCCTTCCAGCCAAGATATCCACATCTTAATTCCCGGAACCTGGGACTAGGTTAGGCCTGTGACATGGTAAAGGGGAATCACAGGTGTGGATAGATGGATGAGGAAATGGATAAGTTTCCCCTAAAGCTTTTCAAGAAACATCCCCTGCCTCTTCCTACCATCTCAGGACCCAAAAGAAAAGCATGCGCCTTGTAAGGAATGTGGTAGCACAGCCTCCAAAACTTAAGGCTTGTCTGTCTTACACCGCCAGGACCTGGGACTGTCACTCTTGGGGGTGCTGGGGAATCTCACATGGGGCAGTGGGTACTGGCGACCTCAGTCAGTTATGCAGAGGGGCAGTACCCCCACCAGGATGTGGAGCTTAGAGAATGTTAGGGCTGCTTCAGCATGTACCCCTGGATGGGTTAGGGGGTGATGTAGGAGAGGAAATGCTTTCCAGAGAGTGGGGTAACTCACCACTACCAATGTTACTCTTCTGGAAGTTTCTGTGTTGCCCTTTAATAGTATGAATGGGCCACAGCCAAACATCAAAAGACCTTATTCTTTATTCTTGAACTTTCCCTGTATTTAGCCTTGTTTCATAAAGTCCATGACAGACCATGAGCCAACACCATGTTGGACCTTAACTAAGGTGTCTTAACCCAGCCAGGCAGGGGGAGAACACACTAAAGCCTTTAAGTAGATGTACTTAGCCGTCCTGCCTTGGATGATTATAAAACTTAGCAGTGAGGAGAAAGGAGCCTTGGACTTTGGGCCAAACTTCATGGGTCCTGGATTCAAATCCTTCATCAGCCGCTTCCTCACTGTGTGATCTTGGACAAGTCACTAAAGTCTCCAGGACTCCTCTGAAAGAGGGGCATAGTAGTAGAGCCCACCTCACAGAGCACCTGACATGTAGCCAGTGCCACACAGGTGCTGCCTGCATGATCACCATCACCATCATTGTCATCACCACCACCATCGTCACCACCACCACCATCATCTACCATCACCATCCTGTGACCATAATTGTCATCGGCACCACCGTCACCACCACCATTACCACAATCACCATCACCACCATCATCACCATCATCACCGTCATCACCACCACCATCATCATCCATCACCATCACCACCATCATCACCATTACAATCATTGTCATCACCACCACCATTATCACCATCATCACCAGGATCATCATCACCATTGCCATCAGCATCCATCATCACCATCACTATCATCATAATTCTCATCATCAACACCACCATCACCACCACCTCCACACAACCATCAAGATCATCATCATCACCATTGCCACCATCATCATCAACCACCACCATCACCACCATCACCATCATCAGCACCATCAGCAACACCATCATTACTACCATCACCACCATCACCATCATCACTACTACTAGTGGCAAAATAAGATAAGCAACTTTGCCTGAGTTTTTACTCCTCAGAATATGTATCTGCTCATGGAACCAAAGGGAAGAAATGTGTTGCTTAGAAGGTTGGAGCTCCCAGTCGGAGGCAGACTATAAGCTACAAGAAAAGAGCACCCCAAGGATGGGCCAGGCAGGAGGGAATAGACATGGGCTTTCAAACCACATCGCAGAAGTCACCTACCTCCTGCTTTTCCCACCATGACCTCAGGGTCTGAGGTCAACACTCCACATCTCGTGACTGGCTCCCTCCCCTTCCTCCTCTGCTTCCCCCAGTGTCCACCAAGAATGAGTCCTGGGAAGCAACCACCACACACCAGTCATCACAAGGAGGAGTGCCGGATATTTGCACCTAACCGAGCAGCCACCCTTCAAAGAAAACACTCCAGTCGGGCCAGCAGGCTGTTTACTGTCTTTATTTTTTCACAAGCTTTGAATTCAGAAATAAGAGCCACGATAAGTCAGTTGTTAAGTAAAAATGGGGGTGATTACAAAGGAAAACTTTGTACAAAACTTTAAAAATCTGACTGCCCCGTCAACCACCTCGAAGGGACCAGGAGTGGGGCCACAGGGAGCAGCTCTCGCCCCATCGTTGTCAGCCCTGATGGGGGCGGGGAGACCCCTTTCTGAGTGTGAACCTGGCTAGGCCTGAAGTCGGAGCTGGCTGGAAGGACACACACAGACCAGAAGACGGCATGGCGAGTCACAAGTGCCACGGAGACCAGGGTTTCTGACACAGGACGTGGATGGTGTTTCTCTGCACACACTGGAAGGTTCCCCTACCTCTCTGAGAATTCACAGAAGGTTCTCGAGGCGGGTGGGGGTGGGGAGGAGTGGGGCAGGCGGACTTGGGGTGGGGACAATGAGTAAACATTTTTGCGTGGAGAGTTCTGGAATCACCCCTGAGGGCTCGAGGTCTCGGCATTGGGTCTACGTGGGTCCTCGGTGATGTCCCGTCAGACGCGCTCACAGACTGCACACATAATTTAGTAACATGCATCAACTATCCTAGAACAGCTACAAGGGGGCAAAAGGAACCACCCAGAGATTCATGGAGCCCGTGGAGTCAGAAGTGGGAGGGACAGTACAAGACGCTGCTAGAACCTGTGTTCACTAAGGAGGGAAATGGAGACCCATGCTCTGAAGTGGAGTCAGCATGAACACATGACCGTGGGGCAAGGAGTTTCCAAGCAAACACACCACACTAGTACCACTTCTTCCTAAACAAGAGAGGAAAGAACATCATTCAATTTTCCCCCCATCAGTACCAAATAAAACTGCGGGTTTCCCAAACCCTGACAGGGAAAGGAATGGACATTATTCCTAGAACGCTTCACGCTGGAGCTCAGCCATCCGCCCGTCAGCCTTCAGCCCAGACTGGTGATGTTGGAGCGGCCACCAGGGGGCGCCACGATGCGGTGGCCAGTGCGCCGGGGGTTGTTGTCGTCGATCTGGGCACCTGAAAGAGACGAATTTAAAAATGGAGCTTCCCTATGACCCTGCAATTGCACTACTGGGTATTTACTCCAAAGATACAGATGTAGTGAAAAGAAGGACCATCTGTACCCCCAATGTTCATAGCAGCAATGGCCACAGTCGCCAAACTCTGGAAAGAGCCAAGATGCCCATCAGCAGATGAATGAATAAAGAAGATGTGGTCCATATACACGATGGAAGATTACTCAGCCATCAGAAAGGATGAATACCCAACATTTGCATCGACATGGATGGGACTGGAAGAGATTATGCTGAGTGAAATAAGTCAAGCAGAGAAAGTCAATTATCTTATGGTTTCACTTATTTGTGGAGCATAAGAAATAACACGGAGAACATTAAGAGAAGGAAAGGAAAAGTGAGTTGGGAGAAATCGGAGAGGGAGACAAAGCATGAGAGACTGTGGACTCTGAGAAACAAACTGAAGGTTTTAGGGGGGGTGGGGGATGGGTGAGCCTGGTGGTGGGTATTAAGGAGGGCACGTATGGCATGGAGCACTGGGTGTGATCTATAAACAATGAATCTTGGAACACTGAAAAATAAGAAAAGAAACAAAGAGAGCCAGTCACCACTGACAGGTTCCACAGGCTGCTCATGAGGGTTGGAAGGCTGAGCCCTCATCCCAATACGCCCTCCAAGCCTCTCCACCCTATGGGGTTCAGTCCAGATTCACCTCTGCAAAGGCTCCCCAACATCCATGGGGTTCACTGCTCTCTCTTCTGTGTGCCACCCTCAGGCCCTGGGGTGACCCCCTTGCAGCCCTGAGCACCCTGCACTATTTCTCACCTGGTGTCATGTTCTTGAACCACGTGGGCAAGCACCTATTGAGTGCTTACTGTGTGCAGGCACAAGCCTGGTGCTTTAATATGTGTGCTTGAGTTTAGGGTAGACAGCAATCCTATGAAGGGGGAGGTGTTTATCTCAAATGTACAGATAAGGAATTGGAAGCTCAGGTCATACACTTTGGGGGGGCAAAGCTGGAGGGCAGGCCAGCCAGAATTCCAGCCCCAACTGGTTTGTCTCCACAGCTCGGGCTCCTACAGGAGTTAGAACAACACACAGCAGTGCCCGAGGCTCCAAAGGTGTTTTTTGCACAGTATGCATAGGCGTGCACGTGTGGGTGTGCATGTATGAGTGCGTGCGTGCGTGCCTGAGAACTACTTGAACCTGGATTTACCCACATTGTTTGCAACGGCCACATCTGCATGGGGGAGGGGCATCATATTTTTTGTTTTCAATTTGCAAAAACCACCATTTGCTCCAACCTTATACATTCTCTGGCCACTAAAGATGTAAAGTTCCAGCATCAAGTGCAGCACCTGTGCTCAGCAGATATGGATTCGGTGCGTAAGCAGTGACTGATGGACAAAGCCAGGAGGGATGGCATGAGAGGGAACTGGGGTCCAGTCCGGAGACAGGTTCCAAGACAGATCGTGTCTGGAATCTGGGGGATTTGGAATCGAACCCACCTTCCCTTGGCCTTCACTTCCTTTTCTGTAAAGTGAGAGGAGCAGAGATAAAGCACCCTCCATCTCCACCATGTCTGATCTTTGAAAGTCACTATGAGTGTAGTGTGGCAAGCTCCCTTGGTAGACACTGTGTCTTCCTGGTAAGCCAGAAACTTCTTCAAGTCCCAGAACCAGAGATCAGGCTTAGTGCTCAATCCCTGTTTCCCTCATAATCCCCTCCACCTTGCTGGTAACCTGTGCACTACTCTGATAGCACCTGTTGGGCACAAGAAACCTAGGGCACTCAATCAGCTGCATATCTAGAAAGTGACATTAAGCAGGTATTGAAAAGGCACCTATGAAGTCATTCCTGATATCAGAAAGTCCCTATGGTGCTGGTAGCAAATGAAGTCACCTGCTAACCTGCTGGGAGGCAGGCTGGGGCGGGGTGGTGGGTCTGGATCCAGTGAGCGCCGAGCTGGGGTGTGGGCTGGTGGGGGAGCCCTTCCTGCAGACTGTTCATTTCATTGTTTCTCCAGTTCTAAAAGGGCAGGGTTCCCCGCCCCCCCCCCCCATACCTAATAACAATCGCAAGTTGTGACTGGAGGAGAGGTCCAGTCCGCAAACTCCATGTTTCTTCACCCTCATGGCTTGTCCTGGCTCTATGTCTAATCCCCGTTGTACTGACTGAACATCCCATGAAATATGTGAGTGGTGTTTTGGGTCCATTGGTGGAAAACATACTAGTTCTTTTTAAAGACTTGAATCACACTCGTGTGAGAAACTCTTGCACTAAGGCTTGTGAGAAGTAAGATAAGCTGAAATGGGGATCCCACCACCACCACTTATATCCCCCACTGCCTAATCTCTGAGACAGACACTCCCCGGATGGAGGGCAAGTTGTCACCCCACGATTTAAATGGCTATTCATTTCTCTCTCTGCTTCCCCATTCTCATTTCCCAAACGTATCAGCTTCTCTGTTTAAATGGTTTTCATTCCTGTTAGATCTGAGTCTGCAACGAGGGACCACTGACAAATCTTGGCCACTACTTGTTTTTGTACAGTCCATGGGCTAAGAACAGCTTTTTACATATTTTTTTACACTTTTCAATGGTTGCCTTTGAAATGGCTACTTAATATAATACCCTAAATTTTACGTCTTGGCTCACAAAACCTAGACCATTTACCCTCCAGCCCTTTAAGACAATATTTGCTGACCCGCCGAAGAAGACTGGGGGCTGCCCAGCTGTGTCTTATCCATCACCGTATTCCTAGAACATAGCCCAGCGTAGAAACACGCTAAAACCTCAAATACTCCCGCGGACAAAATTTCCGGGGGACAAAATTCCCATTCAATTCCAGCGTGTGCATGTCTGCCCTCACGTGGCGAACTGTTGAAACTGCAGCATCCTAGGGTCCGAGGGACCAGGTTCAGCTTCCGGGGGAAGGCACGCTTAAGGATGAGCTCAAGGCCAATTTTTGTGCAGACTTCATCACCAGGGTTAGGTGTCTCTGTGTAGTCCCTGTGGAGCCCCTCTGCTTTCTGACTTACCCCCGCCCATTTGGGCACTCCCAGGAGGGGAGGAGATGGGGCTCCCCACCTGTTCCTTGCTTTCTCCTCTGGAGCCCAAGGGGGCTACTCGGAAGTGCTGTGGGCATGGGAAGCCTCTTACCTGATAAACTGAAGTTGGACTGGTGGAGGTTTCTGATGGGCGGGGGCTGGTGTTTGGAAGGCGAGGACTTGGCAGAAGGAGCAGGAGTCGCATATTTGGGTGTGGCTGGGACCTCGTACACAGGACCATCGTACATGCCCCTGGGAACACCTTGTAACCCTGAAACCTAAACAGAGGAAGGGGAGGGGGACAGATGGGCAAGATGCACCTGAGCCTTCCCATTAAGTGGGCCAGAGCCTTGCAGCCGGACAGTGACCAGAGGGCACCTCGGGGACATGCACACACGTGTGGGTACACATGTGCACACACCCCCATATGCATGCACCCCTATATAACCCAACACACAAAGACATGCACACACACACACACAGAGCTCCATACAGAAGGACCCCAAACCCATTTCCAAGAGGAAAACACTTTCCCTGCATGCCCCATCTCCCTCAAGGACCACTGATCATCTATGGTCTAGCAGAAGGTAAGCCCAAGACAAAGATTTGGGGGAGCTAGTTTATTTGGGAGGTGATTCCAGAAAGGAGGAGGGGGAGAGGAAGGGAGAAAATCTAACACATGGTGGGGTGATGGGACCACCTCTGAGGGCAGCCGGCTCAGGGAAACCATGAAATAAACATCTGCTCAGACCCTCTGGTAGGTGGGGCATGGACCACGGTCTCCATCCCCACAAGTCGAGCATTGCCCCGGGGGAGCCCTACATCCCTGATACAGGTCTGGCCACCTTTCTGTTCTCCTCTTCACAATACCCGCTTCCTGCATCTCTGGGCATCCTTCCATTCTAGCTGGTTCCAAACCTGCCTCCCCATGCCCTTCAGAGACCTCCTCCAAGCTCATCTCTGCCAGAGACAGGTTCAGGTCCTGTCCCTCACCTGGTGTGGCTCCTGTCCTCTGCCCCCAGGCACGTAGGGAGGGAGTGCCCTGCACGGGGATTCAGCCTCCTGGTCCCTGCAGATGAGGGCCTGGCATACAGACCAGGCACCTGCTCTTATGGATGTGGCTTCTAACCACAGGCCTCAGAGTCACACCAATGTAAAGGAAATGAAGCTGGCCCCAGTGTGCTGGTGCCCCTCAGTGGGCCTGTAGCCAGGAGTTTACACAAGTCTCCTTATCTCTAGCATCCTGCTCTGTCCCTCGGCCACCCCAGCTCTTCATGGCCATTTCTCAGATCGGACTTGCTTATTCTCCATGTCCATCCCTTCCCTATCTGACATACAATGTTCGTGTGATTTGGAATCTTTGACCCGGGGTGCTACACCCTACAGGACACAGAAAGACCCGAGCATTGTAATGTGGGCCTCGGAGTCTGGGGTATCATGTTTCCAGGCTTTTCCATCAAAATCAGTGGTGGTGGGGGGGGGTCGTTTATGAAGCACAAGAAAAGCAGGACCACACACAGTAGGGCACACAGACATGCGTACACATATATCCATGCATACACATGTACACACAATCCATGCACACACATCCATGCACACACATGTACACACATCCATGCACACATGCGTGCACCCACACCCACGCATACACATGTGCACACACATCCATGCGCACACTTGCACACCCACATCCATGCATACACACCTGTGCACAAATGTGCACACACCCACATGCATCTGTGCATACATATATGCATGCACACACCCATGCACACACTGCATACACATCCATGCACACATGTGCACATACATGTACCTGTGCGCACACACATCCGTGCACACACACATGCACACACATGTAGGTATATACACCCACACACAGAAGTACGCATACACATGTATAGATACATCTATGCACACACACACATTTACACACATACACAAGCTGGCCTTTCCAGCAAACATCAGCCATTTAGTGTGGGAAGCAGGTGGCCAGAGTAACAGGAGGGACCCAACTAAGGAAGATGATGGGGCCACCAGGGGGAGTTTGCGTGAACTGAGAGCAAGCTCCCTGAGCCATGCTGGAGAATGGATGGAGCCTGTGACATGCCCTTCAATGGGGCATCACGTGTCCCTGCCGAGACTCTTCCAGGAAAGCGGGAAAGAGAGATGCAGAATGGAAGGGCAGGGGAGGCAAGAAGAGAGGGCAGGTCTGAAAGGCGTGAGAGGTTGTTCTGCCATCCCTTGAGGAGCCTGGGGGTGATTTTTCCCAGAAGGGCAAAGCCTAGAGGTTCCAGCATTCCTGCTATGCTATGCTGGCCAGCCCACTGCTTTGAGCACCAGAGTCTGACCCATAGGAGGGTCCTGATGCTCAAGGAGGGGTTGCCGAGGAAGCCGAGATGATGTGGGACGTGTACCCCAAAATAGCTCCATTCAGTGTTACTCCTGCCACCCCTCCCATCCTACATGGACACACCCCTTTACAGTCTGCAAAATCCTGGGACCTCAACCATGCCCCAAGACGCCGGCAGGGCAGGGTGATAGCTCCCATGGCCATGACTTGTTCACGCTGTATGCCCCGGACCCACTCACCTTGTTCCTGATCCTGACGCGCTGGTAGAGGTACTCGGGGAAAGGCTTCCGTGGGATGAAGCGGCCCACGCCCTTGTTGACGTTAATGTTGCCGTCCTCAAAGACGATCTTGCCCTGACTGATAACCACCAGCGGGGAGCCGTGGCACTCCATGCCCTCGAAGATGTTGTACTCCACAGCCTGCACGGCCAGAAGCACAGCAGAGCCCTTACCACCTGCCGCGGGGGTGGAACCCTCCGGATGTCCTCCCACGGGCACCTCCTGCGCTTGCCCTCGGGAAACACTTCTCTGGAGCCCTGTCTTCTTCCCTTCTGTGTGCCTTCCTCAGCAGAATCAGCCCTCGCTCACCCTTGCGCATTTAGGCTGAAGGTGGTTTTGTCTCGGGCACCACGAACATGAACACGTCCCCTCTCCCCCTGTTGTCTGGCAATGTGGCTGCTCTGACCACAATGGGCATTTTTCTGTCTTTTTAAAAAATACCTTCTTTAAGGTAGTTTCTATAATTAAGTTACTGGGTTAAGAGATATTGAGCTTTTGTAGGGTACGTGTTGCCTACTGCCCAGTTATTTTCCAAAGGCATCAGACCAACCGACAACCGTGACGGCCACGGGGGAGAGAGACACTTCCTTGATTTCGTGTCCGTAAACTCCCCTCCAGCACAGAGTAAGGTCATTTTTATATTTTTGATTTTTTTTCTTTCTTTTGTTTTTCTAATTTGAAAGACAAAATATGTTCTTAGAAATACCCGTTCCTTTCATAACCCCTAAAGGGAATGTAAGTACCACTGGGCAACTGTTTTTTATTATTTAAAAAGTAGGTCATCTAGACAGTAAAATGAAAAATCAAAAAGCACAAGCGACATTTGATTTTAAAAAGTAGGTCTCTCTGCTATCTCAGACTGAGACACCTGCCTTAAAGAGAGTCTCCTGAGCCCCCGGATATTTTTGGAGCATGAACAATGGTCTCGGCATTGCAAGAGCTCCGTACTAATGGGTTTCACCCAAATTTTTCTCCTGACCTCAGAGATTGTTCCATATCGGCACAGGTCCCTATTAAAACTGTTTTTAACACCTTTTAAACCGCCGTACTGTATTCCCTACAGGGAGAATTTATTTATCGGTTCCTAGAGATGGACAACTGGATGCTTTCCTTGCTTTTGCTGAAGCCCGTACTGAACCACGCTTCTGCATGTCCACACTGGCATGTGTGAGCCCCTTTCTAGATGTGGAGTTGGAGCCAAAGAGTAAGTGGATTTTTAACTTTGATAGATTTGTGCTCCCTCACGTGCCTCCTGCTGTCCAACCCCACCTGTGCCCCATTAACAACCTGGGTATCGGTCACTGTGTGGGTGAGAAACGTACTCCTGAGATTTGCATTTAGTTAATTACTAGTGAGATTGAGTCTGTTTTGAAAGCTGTATACGTTGTTTGTATATTTCTTCTTGCGTAACTGTGTTTCCACACGCTGTTTATTTATTAGGTTCTTGGTATTTTCTTCCTGGTTTCTAAGGACACTTGTGATGTTAGGGAACTCATCCGTTGTTTTGTCTCGAGTCTCACCTGGCTGTCTGTTCTCTGCCTTGGGATCTCATACAAGGTAATAATTATTATTATTTTTATGCCACCCTGTGGGGTTTTTTGGTTTAATTTGTACATAGTCAATGCTCACACAGGCTAATCTTCCTCTTTACGCTTTCTAAGTTTTGTGTCTAGCTTAGAAAGATCTCTTCCCCTTCAAAACTATCATTTCTAAACACACGGTTTATTCTAATCCTTTGGTAGCTTTCATTTCAACCTTCAGTCCATTCTGGGGTAAAGAACATGGTGGAGGTCTGGCCTTCTGGGTCTGCTGCTGGAACCCACTGGCTGATAACTGCCTCTGTCTGGCCAATCTGAACTTCCTCCTGCTTTGTAAACCCAATTCTCCCCTGTGGTCGGGCTGCCACCTCGATGTCCCCTCTGTTCTACGAACAGCAAACTGCCTCAATGACTGTAACCATACAACCTGCTTCAAGAACGAGGATGAGGGTGCCTGTGTGCTCAGTCGGTTCAGTGTCTGACTCTTGGTTTCAGCTGAAGGCATGATCTCGGGGTTGCGAGATCAAGCCCCAAGTAGGGGTCTGTGCCCCTCCCCCTTTTCTCTCTCTCTCTCAAATAAATAAATCTTAGGGAAAAAAAAAAGAAGAAGAAGAACTGGGGTGAGCAGGGCTTGCCCCTTTATGTTCCAGAAATATCTGACTAGTCTCACATTTAGCATTGAGGACCTCTGCTTTTCCAGCTAAACAACAATTCCATTGAGTTTTCTGATGGCATTGCTTTAAACTTACAGATGAAATTAGCAAGAATTGCTGTTTGCTCTACTGAATCATTTTGGTGTAAAAGAACTTGTGTTTATAAAAGTCTTTAGTTTTTATTGTTACTAGTTACAGGATTTTGATTTCCATTCTATTTTTCAAAGTGCACTTGAATTACTTCATAGAAAAGATATTCATTCTTCCTACTGGTTTGTAATAGGCCAATGGGTTCTCTTATCATTGCCACTAGATTCTGGGAGCACGCTCAGGGGTTCAGGGAAACGACTGGGTCCACACACAGCTGCTGACACTGAGACACACTCTGGGTCAGCAGCTGCCTCCCAGGACCCAGGCAGATGGTCTGCTCTCAGCTGTAACGTTTGCTACCCTAATGCTTCCCGAATCACGCTGAAGGGACCCGCTATGTGCTGACCCATGTCCCGATGAAGCCCAAATACGGAGTATGAGTGATGCTCTGAAGTCAGTGAGGAAGCAAGCCACTGAGCCACCAGTCGAGACTGGCTGACCTCCTGGCTCACACGGCCCCACATGGCCCGCTATTCCTCATGTTGGAAGGACACGATGTGCGCTATCATGCCCCTCCTAATCGGGGAGCTCTCACGAGGTTCTGGCTTACCCTCTACAGATGCCACATTCGAGATCTGGCCACTACATGAGGTTTTAAAAGTTGTTTCCTTGCCTAAAAGTAATATGTGAACGATGTAATAATTCAAACAGTGCAAAGGATAACAATTAACATGAACAAAACTGGGGTGCCTCGGGTGGCTTGTTTGGAATAAGCCTCTGCCTTTGGCTCAGGTCATGATCTCAGGGTCCTGGGATCGAGCCCCACATCAGGGTTCCTGCTCAGTGGGGCGTCTGCTTCTCCCTCTCCCTCTACCCGTTCATGCTCTGTCTCTCTTTGTCTCTGTCTCTCTCTCTCAAATAAGTAAGTAAAATCTTTAAAAAACAAAAAAAACGAACAAAATTGTCATCTCTCATCTGGGATCCCCAGATCCGTCGTCTCTACCCTAGAAGGCAGTTACTGGTCCTTGGTTCTTTTGTGTCCTATAAAAGACAGCAGGACACTGACAAATGGGGAATACGTTTATATCCATGAAGAGATAAATGTGCTCTATCCGGGCAAGGGAGCGTTCTTCAGCCATTAGAAGGAATGAAGTACTGGGGCCTGGGCGGCTTCGTTGGTTCCTCTGCCTTTGGCTCAGGTCATGATCTCAGGGTCCTGGGATCGAGCCCCACATCGGGCTCTCTGCTGGGCGAGGAGCCTGCTTTCCCCTCTCTCTCTGCCTGCCTCTCTGCCTACTTGTGATCTCTCTCTCTCTCAAATAAATAAATAAAATTTAAAAAAAGAGGGGCACCTGGGTGGCTCAGTGGGTTAAGCCTCTGCCTTCGGCTCAGGTCATGATCTTAGGGTCCTGGGATTGAGCCCCACATTGGGCTCCCTGCTCAATGGGGAGTCTGCTCCTCGCTGTCCTTCTGCCTGCCCCCCCCCCACTCGTCTGTGCTCTCTCTCCTCCCCCCCAAATAAATAAATAAAATCTTAAAAAAAAAAGAAAATGAAGTAGAAGCGCACACCGCGGTGTGGACAAGACTCAACACCATGAAGCCAAGCGAAAGAAGCCAGACACGAAAGGCCACACACTATGGGATTCCTTTTATGTGACTGGTCCAGAATCGGCAAATCCAGGGAGAAAGAAATCAAATCCCTGGTCAAAAGGGACCGGGAGAGAGGAGAACGGGGAGTGACTGCTAATGAGTCTGGGAGGATGTACAACCTTCTGAATATACAACTACACAAATACACAAACCACCACAGCGTCCACCTGGGTGCGGGCTCAGGGGCAGCGAGGGGTGGGGTGGCCCACAGCCTGCCACCTGCCATACCATCTCAAAAGTTCTCTTGATGGGACACCTTCCTGACCCCACAAGGGAACACGTGTCTCTCCTGTAGGACCAGACCCCACTTGACACACACACATCACGGCATTCACAGTGATTCAAGTGGGATCGTGTGCCTGCGAGGTGGTAAGTGTGGAGAATGGGGTACACCATTCTCCAGGGAAGTGACCTCAGTCTCATTTCCTCCTGATCCTGTCACCAGGGATGGGAAGTGGGGGGTGAAGGATACCAGCATGTCACCAGGGAGCACTGACTACCATAAACACGACAGCCAGCTGGCAAGTGGGACAAGACTTCTACAGCCCCATGCCAACTCCCTGGGACCTGGGGGCCAAGCCCATGAACTGCTACGAAGGGTTCTTGTCACTTTCTTATGAGACTTCCTTGTCCTCATGCATGTGGTCTCACCTCTCCTAACAGGTAGCCCCTAGGAGGCTGGGAAGCTGTGCCCGTGTGACAATGAGGACCCTCACAGGATGATGGGCTATGCACACACTCTTCCCCCGGCCTGTGTCCTGTAACAGACATAGTGGGCCGGGGTATAGGATGTGGTCTCCTATGTCTCTGACATTAGGACATTAATGTGGACATTAATTTGGACCCAAGATCACAGCTGCCCTTGCAGAGCGGGCTTGAAGCAAGCAACAAGGGAGGAGAAGATGACTCACGTCTCTTTGCATCCTAGGTTTGCTGGCAGAGTGAGGAAATCAAGGGCACATAGGATACAAAGCACAGAAATAACCCATGGCCATAGGCTTGGGGCCTGGAGCTCAGAGAGCGTACACCCCTGCAGTGTGCTCAAACACTGAGGGCTCTAGGCCCAACCCTTTCCTTTGTCGAGTGTTAGCAGTGACCCCAACGTGAAGAAGGAGGTTTCTGAGACAGGAGATCAAACCCTTTCTAGCTTGATAACTAGGTTGGAGAAAGAATCTTGGACCTAATACTTCTCTGAGCTTGAGAATGCACGCATCCAGGGCATGGCCCACTAAGAGAGAGAGACAGAGAGAGGGAGAGAGAGAACGCATTGGTAACACATCAGTAACTTAGCCGAGGCCGCTCAAAGCCAGTCTCCAACTGGCAGAGAAACATGAAGGACTGAGTCATGCCAGACATCAGATCACATCCTGGTTGGAAACTCTGTAAATCATTTTCAACCAGAGGCTTCTAAAGTGGTTGCCAAGCAAGAATTGCTCACCCAGATCAGGAGCAACTCGGGGAAGCCAGGACTTACCGACTTGTGACTCTTGGCTGTTATGGTCTTCACCTTGTCAGGGTCCCAGATGACAACATCGGCATCCGAGCCCACGGCAATCCGCCCTTTCCTGGGGTACAGGTTAAAGATCTTGGCTGCGTTGGTGCTGGTGATAGCAACAAACTGGTTCTCATCCATTTTGCCAGTAGCCTAAAGGCAAGAACTGCTGATGAGAAGAGCGCCCCCATAACAGGGCTGGGGAAAGGGCAGGCAGGGAAAAATCTAGGCCTGCTGACCGGAGTCCTCGAGAGGAGTCTGAAATTTTTTCCTCCCCTGCTGAAAACAGGCCATCTGAACGGGCATAAAGGCCTAGACCCATTGGAGCGGAAATGTAACCGGCCATGCAGAAGCATGCTGACCTTTGCTCGATGGCCACTGTGCTATCTTGTCAGGCCCACTGGGCCCACGTTTAATAGAAAATGAAAACCTTTGGTTCAAGTCAGGAACCAGAGTGTGATGTGGGGTGTCCTAATGCAACGAGCACCCTCCATACCCAATGTCAACCCCGGGCACAGGGTTTACAAAGTCACCTTTACAGGCACACAAAACTAAGGAAAACATTTTGCATCCTTAAAGAATACAGGACAACTGTGAGGCCTGCAACTGCAGAGGAACCCACAGGACCCGTGCTGCTCTTTTAAGAGTCACACCCTTCCTCACGTGCCCTCCATATGCATTCTCTCTTGCCTCAAAGCAAGGAAGGGAGGAGCATTAAGAATCAGCCGTGCAGGGATGCCTCGGTGGCTCCGTCAGTTGAGAGTCCAACTCTTGGTTTCAGCTCATGTCATGATCTCATGGGTCGTGGGATCAGGCCCCACATCAGGCTCCGCTCTCAGACGGAGGTCTGCTTGAAGATTCTCTCCCTTTGCACCTCCCCCCACTTACTCTGACACTCTCACAAATAAATAAATCTTTAAAAAAAAAAAAAAAAGGAACCAGCAGTGCACTATGTGCTAGCTTTTGATGGGCCACTTAGGGTGCTTCTAGAATGTTCCTGGGGATTGAGAAACAGGGAGCGCCTTACCACTGCCTTATCCCAGACAACAGTCATCCGCTCCTCTATCCCATTGACGCCCTCAGGGATCAGAGTGAAGTTGTCCTTGCCCACTGCCTTCTGGGCAGTGCTGTAGGGACAGTGGCCGCTGCCTGTGACCTGCAGGTCTCCACTGCAAGGATGAAAACAAGGTAGGGGTCAGACCTGAGTTCAGGTTGAACTTCAGGCATCCAGTACTGCCTATGAAATGAAAACCCCAAGAAATTCTGGGGAGAGGATTTGGGGCATATCATGGGCATTGGTGAGTGACATCAGAAGGCCCCTTGTTGGGAAGGTGCTGTCAGTGTGGGCTCTGGGCTCTCTCAGTGATGCTCCCTAGGTGGGCCTCCGCTTCTTCACTCGGAAGAGCAGACACCCACACAAAAAAGGTGCCAAGTCAGGTTCACTAGGGGGTGAGGCCAGATAGGGCTTCGCCTTGGGGCGTGTTGTGGGGACTTCTCTTCCATGTTGAAAGGAAAGGATCCTAGAGGACTCTAGGCAGAGGACTGGCTTGGTCTGACTTGGGGTCTAAAATCTGGGTGCTGGTTGGGAATAGACTATGTCATGGGCATGGAAGGGACAGCAGAGAAATAGGCCTGTCAGAGGCAAACCAGGATGGCCGCAGCCAAGGGGGCAAGAAGTGGTCAGATCCCGGGGCCTTTGGCCTGTGTCCTGCCCTCTTCAGAGATGGGCAAGACTGTGGGAGCAGCAGCTTTGTGGGGGGAGATGGCAGTCTGTCTGGACTTGGAGCTGCCCAGGAGACATGGGGCTGCAGGCAACGAGCAAGCCCGTGGATATGCAAGTGAAGGGATTCTGCATCACGTGGGAGAAAGAGGTTTCCAGGGTAGGCACACACCCTCACACCCCCTTGGCGCTCCTTCTGACCAGAAGCCAGGACTTCTCCCCTAGCCAGCAAACTCCTACTAATCCTCTAGCTCCAGGCCCAATATTGCCTCCCCCATGAAGCCTTCTGCAAGTCTCCTGGCTCTGAGCATGTGGTTCTGCTTCCAGAACAGCCTGCACACCTCACCACTTAGCATTCTCTTAAACCTAAGCGCTACTTCCTCACGCTGGCCAACAGCAGGGAAGGGACCAATGCGGTTGTGCTCCTACTGTGTGCACATACCCAGGGGGTGCTTTGCAAGAAACAGTAGCCACATGCTGAGCCCTCAATTCCAGGCCATATTCCTACACTGTCTATAACCAGCCCCACACCAGATACAATGTTCTCCCCCACTTTGCCGATAGGTAAACCAAAGCAGAAAGCCATGGCAGGTTATGTGACAAACCCAGGGTGAATCCTGGATTCTCATGCCTAATCTTGGGTGCTTCCCAATATACCACTGTGCACCTGGGACCCCCCCCAACCACCCCTTTGGCTCTCACCAGGCCAGCAGGGAGGTCAAGTAGTCAGGCGTGGTGGGGTCTGGGCTCAGGGGAGGGGAAGTCACGAATGCCGCTGCCTTGGCCCAGTTCTTACTCCAGTAGTGGGTGCCATCCGTCCCCAGGCTGGCAGCGATGGGCTCGCCAAACACCAGGGGGCCTGCGGGGACAAACACAACACACAGTCAAGGACAGGTGGTCTCTTGGGGTGGGGGTTTGGGTAACATAGAAGTAAAGGGTCAGAGACAGGAGAACAATGGTCTGAGGGGCAAGTTGTCATCTGTCCTTCTTCCCTGCATCACCACACAGTTTGCTGACTCCCAGCTGCCAGGCAGTTAGCATCGGCTGACCTCCCCAGCAACCTCCTGGACTGGTAATGCATTTTGTATTTGGATAGGACCATTATGCCCTTTGGCAGATTTGTCATTCCAGGCCCAGGGACGGGATTGGCTGTCTCAGTGTGGATTCTGCCAGAAGCCCATCTTCCAGCAAAGGGGTCGAGTTCAAGTGTTTTACTTGTGGGGTGATTTCAGGCAGCACCGGCTGGGGATGGAGGAGGTGACACAAGGCTGAGAGAGAAGCCAAGAACAGGTGTATAATCACTGAGTCACGGCCAAGGGCACATGCAGCTCAGGGCCACCAGGGCCTCTGGGAGACCACTGATGGCACCTCAGGGCCATCCCACCCCCACGGCGAGGGAGCTGGGCTGTGTAGCCACCCACCCACCCCTTGAGGGCTAATTCCAGAACATCCGCTTTCCGGGAATTCTGGCCCGCCTTCCGGGGAGCAGGTCTGCTCACAGAGATGGATGCTGCCTGGATACATGCATCTGCCCAAGGCCACCGTGGCGGCCCGGCACAGCAACCAGGCTGCCTGAGAGTCGGTCCCGCAGTGATGGGAATGTTCTCTCTCCCTGCCACTCAAGACGGCGGCCACTAGCCTCCTGTGGCTCTTGAGCATGTGAAATGGGGCTAGCACAGCCCAAGGAAGGCATTTACAATTGTACTTAGTTTTACATAATTTAAATGGAAACAGCCACATGGGACTGGCAGCCACCATATCCCTCCATGTGGCCAGGACCTGCGTGCTTACTACTGCTTCCAAACTGCTGTCACCGCTCTGCCTCGGTTTCCTTATCCTTAAAATGGGGCCAGTTCTAAGCAAGCTGTGTCTACCAGAGTGCTCTCTTTCAATGCCTCTGCCAGCTTTCCCTGAAAAATACTAAGACAAGGTATTGTGGGTTCACAGCGGCTCTAGCCCCACACGGTAACAGCCAGACCCATGAGGCTGTCAGGCCCTTGATGCCAGTCGGAAATTGAGATGTGCTGGAACATGACACACTAGATTTCAAAGACAGCACACAACAGTAACACAAAATATCTCTAATATTTTTCATGTAATTGCATGTTGAAGTAAGAGTTTGGATGCATGAGGTTAAAAATATATTATTGAAGGTATTTTTAAAAATAGAGTTAGTAATGCTTCCCATTTAGGGCTCCCATGAGAAACAGGGAGGCTCAGGCATACGGCAGCTGCTCAGTGATGGCTGCTGGCTTGTTGATTTCCACCCCGCCTTCTGCACTGACCCGCAGGTCCCTGGTCAGTCTCATGTGACACAGAGAGGGACCAGGCACAAAGGTGACTGTCCTTGGCAGATGTCCACCAGCCACAACCTTCGTATAATGTGCACTACCCCTCCTCTGTCTGTTGGTCTGTCTGTCATTCTCTCTCTCTCTCCCTGAGTTTGGGATGGAAGCTGCTCTGGGAGCCTTCTTCATTCTTGGTCTGGTGACTGGTGGGGGAGTGTGGACGTCCCTGTTGAGGAGGCCGGGGGCCTGCCCTCGGGCCCCTACTCTGAGTCTCCTGCAATCAGAATGTGCCCACTGAGCCCTCCTCCAATGGTCCTCAGCACAGCAGGCAGCCTGGTACTGGGGCCCTACTTGGGAGGTGAGGGCACCCAGGCAGGAATTAAATAGCCAACTTGGAGGAGAGAATGGCATCCAACACCCACGGAGCCCTGGGATCCCGCCAAGGACTTCTTATCTATGAGCCTGAAGACTTCGCATCTTAGAGACAAAGTAGCAGACACTTGGTATGGTTCAGTGGGGCATTGTCTTTGAGCTGGGTCACTGGCTTCCTGAACCACACTCTCCTGATGTCCAGCATGGGGCTGTGCCCAGAACCCCTGGCTCTGGAAACCCATCTTCTTCCTTGTCAACCCAGACCCAAGACCCTGCACGGGCCCCACACCTGACCGTGGATGCAGGCACCAACCACGGGGCCCTAGACAGGGGACCCAGGATGATGTGTCCAGAGGGGACCAGAAAGAGGGAGGGCAGGATCCCAGAGCTGATGCAACCCGGCCCCAGCACTGACTTGATGAGACACACACCCCCGCCCCCCACCCCAAAACAGAACTGGAACAATGCAGAGCTCTTTAAAATACATGGTCTCGGGGCACCCATGGGGCTCAGTCTGTTGAGCGTCTGACTCTTGATTTGGGCTCAGGTCATGATCTCGGGGTCATGAGATAGAGCATATGATTCTCTTTCTCTCATCAAGTAAGCAAATTAAAATAAAAATATAATACAGGGTCTCATCCAATCCTACAAAGTGGGATAATTTACCTATAAGGGCTCAGACTGCTGGAAACTGTCAGGGTGTCTCTGCCCTGGGCAGTGGCCCCATCAGTGAACTTGACCTGCTGGACAAGCCCTCTCCTTAAGGCCCACAGGAGGCCGGGGCACTGGACTGCGTACCTTTCTTCCTGGCCAGGGTGATGATGTCCGCCGCACTTTTGCTCATCACCTTCGTGATGTACACCGGACAGTTGATGCGACCAGCGATGGTGATGGCCCGAAACACAGCCTCAGCCTCTAGCTGGGGACACAGCAATATGCGGGTCACGGGAGGGAGGGGCAGAGGCGCGCCCCCCAGCCCCTAGGGCTCTCCCTGAATCAGAGCCCTTCTGTTTTCCTTAATTAAGTGCAGCCAGAGGCAAATCTACTGCTTCAAGGCAGAAAAGTAACAGATTTTTAAAAAGAAAGGAAAAAAGGAGTCCAAGCGTATTTGGTTCAAGGATTGGAAGGCAGAATTTTGTTCATCTGCTTCCTTGGAAGCATGCTGCGTGTTCTGTGAGGAGGGGACAGACCAGGCAGGATAAAGCCTCGAAAGGCCCATAAAATGGTCCGTTACTTATAAAACACCTGCCATAAGTGAACGCATGTGTCCGACAGACATTCCTGTGTGCCCCCTCTAGACCAGTGCTGCGCAAACAATAGGACCAGATATGTTTTGTACTGCTTTGTTTTTAATCTCCAGTCTGCTGATGCTCCAGACGTGGTCCCAATGCTTGAGACGGACACTGAGTCCCACGGTGCTATAAGGGAAGTGTCAACATGGTCTTCCGGTCTGTCCTGATCTCACCAGGGACCAGGAACACCGCTCACGGGCCATGAAGCTCATGTGCATACCACTGTTCTAGATCAACTTAAAAAGTTTATCTACCATGTGTTGTGGCCCCAGTGCCCAGCTCAAGGCCAGGCCCATGGCAGACATGCACACACACACACAGACACACAAATACACACACACACACACACACACACACACACACACATCCATGCTCAAGTCTTAGAACACAGTGGGCAATGTGCAGGAGAAGCTGTTCTGTCGGTTCTAGGTCTCGAATATGCGGCTCCATTTTTCTATCACCAAATACACAAGGTCCTCAGCAAGGATCCTTCTATCCAGTTATGATACTGAACTGTTCATGGGCCTTGGTGTGGAGCTTCTGGGCTCAGGGATAAGCAGGGTCTTCCCCTGGCTTCCCCCATTTTCCCTCAGGCCCCACAGGAAGCCAGGTGTGTTGGGATGCTCCCGTCGGGGGAATGGGGATGGAGACCGGGGGGGGGGGGGGGCCCTGTTCGCTGTTCTAGCTGAAACAGCATCAGGGCCTGCCTTCAGTGTTGTCAGAGTCACACCCCAGGGGAGCCCCCATTACCTCCTCGGGTCTGCTCAGAGCATGGCCCTCGGGACCTGTGATGCCCATCTCTAAGATCCGCTTCTGTTCCTGCAAGACAGGAGCACCGAGTCAGTGACTGTAGAACGTCAGCCGGGAAAGGCCAGTCCTCCAGGCCCCGTTAGCAGACAGGCCGCTGAGTCTAAGAGCTTATCCCAGCTCTGGGACAAGAGCACCTGTGTCTTAGAGCTTCTGCACGGAGTCAGTGAGGGAGCCAGCAAGACAACCACATGGGACCAGGGGTGTGGTCAAGCTCACTCAGTGGCAGGGACTCTCATCATTCTTCTTCCCAATGTCAGCCATTCTAAGAGGAAGCCTGTACTCCAGCTCGCCACAGAGCCTAGAAATGACTCCCTGTGCTAATGCCCCAGATTCAAACACATTGGCTTCAAGCTTTCCTTGCCAAAAAAATTAAAAAATTTCTCAAAAAAAAAAAAGATGTTTTTTATATTGGCCAGATGTCAGCTGTGCTGCTAATTGTCACTTGCGTGGTTTCTGTAGCATTCTTGGGCACATCCCTGCCATGGGTCCCCAGCCCTATCAGCCATGGGGAAAAAAAACAAAACAAAACACCATAATTTCAACCACATCTCAGGTTATTAAGCTTCAGCTTTATTGTAAGAATGTAAACCGGAAACGTCAAGATCTCATAGCCGGGGTAGCTTTCAGTAAACAATGGGATAATCTGAGCTACCAAAGACAGCGCTTATAGAGCATTTCTGTACACTATTTACACAATGACTTATAACATGGAGAGATCAGTGTGCCAGACTGTTTAACCGTCCCTTGCTATTTCTGTAGTGAAGAAGACAGGAAGCGAAGAAGGGAGGAGGGCAGAAGGACACAAGATGCTTTCATGGAGGAAAGCACAGATCACAGGAAGACGAACAGGATAGAAATGGCGGCCTGAGCCCGTGCATTCTTTTCACTCCCCCTCTGCAACCCCACAGAAGGAGCAGGAAAGGTACCCAAGAGCCATGAGAATGCAGAGCAGACAATGAAGACAAAATCTGGGAACCTGGGAAGTAGAGGAGCAAAGGGCGACATTTATTGGAACTGAGAAAGCTAAATCCTATGTGGGCAGCATGGAAAGCTAAGACCACACCCCCCTCCTCGGCGTCGAGCCCAGGTGCTGGCGGCGCCCCGCTGCACATCTCACTCGTGGGTGTTTGGGGCTTGTTTGCTCTAGAAAGAGGTTTAGCAGTTACGACCGAAGCTGAGTATACAGGTAGACGCTAACAGAAACACGAACCCAGGTTTAACAAAAGGCCGAACCAAGAGTGTTCACGCCAGCCTGATACACAACAGTCCCCAAATTTGAAACTACCCCAGTATCCATCAGTGAGAGAATACATTAGGACCTATTCCTGCCTTGGTATTCTACAGTGATGAACAAAAGGAAAAAATTTGTTGTTTTGTGGAAGGCAGGGAGGAATCTCACAGATCCTGTTTGGAGCAAGAGAAGCCAGACATAAAAGAACACGTGTCATATTGTTGCATTTCTATTAACGGCAAAACTAGGCCAAACAGGTGCGTGTGGCGGGAGATCACTGAGAGGCCCCCAACAGGCCCACCTCATAGCTCCATGCCCTGTGTAACCCCTAGGTTGCTGGACCTAGCACCTTGCTTCTAATGAACAGAACATGGATAAGAGAGATGTCCATGTCTCTGGCTGTCACTGCTGAGATGACGTCACAAAGGACTGTGACCTCCACCTGGTTCACCCTCCCCCCTTGTTCTCCCATCTACTCACTCGGAAGGAAGCCAGCACCCCTGCTGGGGTTGTCCTCAGGGCAAGGAACCAAGCCGGCCTTCGGGGAATAGCCAGCCAAGAACAGAGGGCATCCGTCTGAGCTTGCAAAGAACTAAATTCCAAGAACAAGCACTGGACTGTGGCTAGACGTCTCACCCCAGTGTGGCCTTGAGGATGGCATTGGCCCTGCCTGACTCCTCCACTGCAGCCTGCAACAGAGCCCACTGAGCCACACCTGGGCTCCGGGCCCATGGGATGGGACCTGAGATCATAAACGGTTATTGCTTTCACATGCGAAGTTTCGGGACCCCCAGTGAAGCAGCCACAGAGAACTAATGTAGATGGTGGTGGCCTGAAGGAGGGTGTTACCATGAAAACCACCTGAGGCTGTGGGGATGGCTCTGGGACCAGGCAGTGCAAGGGGGGCACGACTAGAGAAAGCGCGAAGTGGCCTGGAACGGACTGGACCGTCAGTAGAAAGATGGACCTTGAGCACCTTGGCAGGGAGAACTTGAAAGGGAATGAGGACATTATTGGAAGCTGAAGCCTGCATTGGAGTCTACTTTAAAAAAAAAAAAAAAAAAAAAAGAATGAAAGAAAGAAAGAAAGAAAAAAGAAAAGAAAAAAAGGACCCAGGACGTGGTTGTCTTGAAAATTCTCTGCTTCTCCAAAGAGCAAAAGATAGTACAATCAAGAAATGTCTTCTGGGGGCACCTGCGTGGCTCAGTTGGTTAGAGAGTCTGACTCTTGACCAGTTCAGGTCATGATCTCAGGGTCCTGGGATCAAGCTCCGGGTTGGGCTTGGCGCTGAGCATGGAGTTTGCTTGAGATTCTCTCTCTCCCTCTGCCCCTCCCATTCCCCCCCATGCTCTCTCTCTCTCTCTCAAGTAACTAAATCTTTTTAAAAATCTAAAAGAAATGTCTTCTGAGCAAATGTAAAATCCAGGACATAAGCAGCAGACAATACTCCAGAAGACAAAAGTGGGGTATGGCCCCACAATGTTGGTGAAGATCTGGAAAGATGGAGGCTGGGGACTTGGGGGTGAATTGGTCACAAAAAAAGCCCTTTAAGGAGACTGATGGTGCACCCCAGAGCTCCTCCAACAAGAGAGCCTCTAGAGAGCTCAGGGTGTGAGAAGGGCAGGAGTAGGCTTATCAGGAAGAAACCCATGGGTGTCTTTTATCTGATGGCATGAACCATGGAGGGAGTCATAGGAAGCCAACAAAGGCTGGGAGATTCACTTTAGCAAAACCCAGGCAGCCTGGGCTGAAAGGAAGCAGTTGTACCTCCCAGCTGTACCAGGCAGGGAGCAGGCTCTGTGGCAAGAACGCACTACCTTTCACAGATAGGATGGATGACAGGAAGTGGGGGGATGAACCGAGTCCAGAAGGGGAAGCCAAGAGTCAGGCAGAACTACTCTCAGCCTCCGGGACCTAATCAAGGAACGGCCAGCAATTGCCCAACTGCATTTCAGAACAGCTATGGACCCATGCCTGAAGCCTTCCATTTTCCCTCTTGAAAAGGAACGTCCCCCCACCATTGTGTGCTGTATGTTGAGTGTACGTTGGGGGAGGCGGATAACTTGCCTCTTTGCCTCCAGAGACCGGAAGACTGTAGGAACTATCCCCAAAGAGCCTCATCTACACATGGATCTGACTTAGACACTTCCAGACTTTGGTGCTGTAGTGGGAATTTGGAGGACCTTGGACAGGGATGGATATGTTCTGCGTGTGAGCGGGATCCCAATCACTGGGGATCAGAGGACAGACTGGGAGATAGCCTCTGAGAGGGCCCCCAGTGATCCTCATTTCCTGGGGTCCACACCCTTGTATAATCCCAACTAATAAGCCAAGAGCTGACGTTCCCAGCGTGCATCAGAGCTCACGCATTTAACCATCGTGGCGAAGACCTGCTGCGCTCAGAACTGCCATATCATCCCGGTTCTGTGCCCCACATAATCAAGCAAGCTATGCACATCTGAGCCCCATTTCTCTACCTATAAAGTGGGGATATCTGTGTCATATCTGTGATGTAGTGGTGACTGTCACTATATACAAACTCCTTCGCATCACGCCTCATATTAACTACTTTCATTAGATGTGTCCAAATGTTTTCCGGTATGCACGATCTTGCTTTGTGATGTCATGATCAACCCATGCCCCTGACCTCTTCCTCCTCTTCTCCATCTGGTCAACCAACGAGACCCATGGACTGGGCTCCTTTCCTCTGCTCTATCTCCCATCTTCATTTCTTCTGAGAATTGAAGGAGGAGAACCTAGCTGGTCACTTGTTTCTACTCTTCTCCTGTCAAATTGTCCATCCTACAGCCAGAAGGGTCAAAATGCATTCATGTCTCTCCCCATCCAAAATTTTGCATGGCTACGGCCTACTGTGTATTGGACACTGGACTTCACGTACATGATATCATTTAATCCTCGTGAGGCAGGTGCCTGTGGTCAACGGGCTGGGTGGTGGCAGGGGACCCACCATTACACTCCTCCCAAGTCCTACAAGATGATGAGCGATGCTAGCTCCCACGCACCTCACCTCTAGCATGCCCCAAGTTTGCGGAGCCCCTCCAGCTGATCCTTACTTGTTCCTCATGCAAGCCCGTGAGGCTCACAGGGCAGTTCTGTCATCCTCACTGTGCAGAGAGCCCCCTGCAGGCGGTGCGTGCGTGACCCGTACCTGGAGCATCTGAGCCACCATCCAGCTCTCGGCCTGACCCTTCACTGCCTAGCCACCTTGCTCACCAACGTCTCCACCCCTCTGGTCACACCATGACAGTGCTGGGATGCGGATGGGAGCGGCAACCATGGACAGCCATGCCACTCACCTGAGCTATCAAGTCTCCATTTTCTGCGTGGACCAAGATCACAGCGCCCAGCCCCTTCAGGAAGGTGAAGGCTTCATAGAGCTGAGGGAGAAGCAACCAGGTGGGGGAGAGGGGGAGGGGAGATAAAAATGTCAGAACCTGAGCATTTGCAAAGAGGGCTCTTCTGCTCACGGAGTCACCCTCCCGCCCCTGCAGAGGCAACGCGGCCACTCTGTTCACACCCACGGAATGTGTTGCCCAACAAGTTAAGCCTTGGAAAGGGTCTCTCCTTGACCCTGACACCCTCCAGATCCCAGAGCAGCAGGCTGGGGGAAGGGCAAAACTGAGTGAAGCCACAGCACCGCAGGAAATGCCCTTGGTCCCAGTGCCTATGGTGCCTCCTTGCCTTCGACGTGGCTCCGTCCCACTAAGGTGGCTGCAGCTGCTGCTGGGGACAGCCACGCTCAGACCCTGGTTTCAGGTCTACTGAACTTGAGGACCCAGGTGTGCTCAGCCTGGGCTGTGGGCCAAGTTCTACAACAACTCAGGTAACAGGTAACACACACCCTGCCAGGCATCCGCTTACTTGGCCAGCAGAGGCCCTGCCCCATCCGCTGCCCTGCTCCAACCTGCAGGGGATCTGCACTCAGATACGTGCCCACCATGAGGACCACAGCCGCCACATTCCTTCTCCAGGGCCTCTCGAATTTTAACTTTGTTGTGCATGCATGCAAGACAGCACCCCACCCTGGGACATGTGCTTCTAGATGCAGATGGCAGGTGGGGCAGGAGGGGTGGGTACTTGGGGGCAGGAAGCACCTTCCAGGACCTCCATGGCTGAACTCCGTCTGCCCTTGGAGCTTTGGTGGTTAGAATGAAACACGTTATGCCAGACAGACACACGCTACTTTTTCACGAAACTGAACCGATCTTAGCCTTTCGATGATACATCAAAGCTTCCAGGGCGCCTTGGGGTAAGTTATTCTCTGTAACTCCGAGCGTTTATTTTGAAAGGTGAGACCTGGATGCGTCCCCCTTCCTGTCCAACTGCATGGTCATGAGGAATCATAGCTTCTCAGGGCCCCTGTGTGTGCCAGACACTGTCCTAGAGTCATGTATTCGGAAACTCATTCAATCCCCTGACAACCTCTAGGAGGCAGGGAGTCTTACGACTCTAAAGCACAAAGAGGTTGGGAAAGCTGCCTCGGGATGCACAGCAAGGCCAGGGCTGCAGCCCAAAAGTCTGGCTATAGGATCCATGCCCTTTGCCACCACACTGCCCCACTGTTTTAACCAGCAGAGGTCAGAGCAATGCTCATACGACAAACCCAGAGTCCCAGTGGTGTAAGAAGGCCAGGTGCCCGGGAGACAATGACCTCAACACCCTGCATGCACCACGAGAGCACCACCCTCTCGAGCTCCTCTCCCCCACATGACAGTGTTGGAAGCCAGCCCGCCCAGAGACGGCCACACTGCACAGGTGAGAAAATTAAAGGAGGGAGGGAGGGACCCTAGTCTCGACTGGCTGGAGAGACAGAGCCGGGGCTCCCCTCTGGGTCAGAGCTAATGACATGGTGCCCGAGCTTACTAGATCTCCAGAATGAACTGCTGAACTTTTAGAAAAGTACACTTCCCTGAGCCCTGCCCTGAATATCTGGGATGGGATCTAAAACCTGTCTTTTTTTTTTTTTTTTTAAGATTTAATTTATTTATTTGAGAGGGAGAGAGACAGAGTGTGAGTGAGAGGGGAAGGGAGAGGGAATCTCAAATAAACTCCCCACTGAACACAGAGCCCCATATGGGGCTCGATCCCACAGCCATGAGATCATGACCTGAGCTAAAACCAAGAGTTGGACTCTTAACCAACTGAGCCACCCAGGGGCCCCTAAGAGTCTGTCTTTTTTTAATAAGCTTTTTAGATGACGCTAAGGATGAGGTGGATTTGGGAACTGCCATGCAAAGGGATCCCCCTCTCAACCCCACTCAAGTAGCCGGACAGGGATGCAGGCCCAGTGGAGGGAGGAGAACCGACACAAGTCACATAGCAAGGCTGTGTCAGAACCAGGACCTGCACCCAGAGCTCTCCCCTGCCCATCTGACAGCTCCCTTGCCCATAAGAGTGGCCTCTTTCTCCCAGGAGAGGGTGTGCAGGTGGACCCACCTGGCTATCAGACATTTGGTAGAGATCCTTATACGCCATGTAGACTTGGAAGGAATTGACACCTGTTCCAAGATAAAAAAGGAAACAAGAATGCATTTAAGAAAAAAGAAACGTTCCTTTCTGGTAAATCCATGATCACAAGACAGAGTGGTAACTGCTAGGACAGAAGGGTGTCACTGGGCCTCACAGTGGAAGCACCGAACCCAGCCTGGGTGTGCAGGTGAGGGTAGTCACAGGAGGCTTCCAGGGAAGGCATAGGGCTGAACTGGAAGGAGAAGAAGGGGAGGAGGGGGAAGAGACAGAGGGGGAGGCGGAGGGAAGCAGGGGGAGGAGGAGGGAGGAGAACTATTTGGATAGAGAGGCTGGTGTTCATGAGTATCAACAGTAAGGGGGATGAAAAGACATAGAATGTGAAGGTACTAGAAGCGTCCTATGGCTTGATGCTCTATTATGACAAAATACATAAACAACATTCGCCATCACAGACATTTTCAAGTGCACAATTCTGTGGTATTCACTACATTCAAAATACTGTGCAAGCATCACCACTCCCTGCCAGAGCATGTGTTTTTAAAGCAAGGTGTGACACAATTAGACTTTCTTATCTCAGAAAGACTGTCCTGGAAGCAGTGTTGAGGGTGGGTCCGCAGAGCAGCAGAGGGACATGGCAGCGGGGAAGAGGATACTGAAGGTCAAGGGGACAGGTGTTGCTGAGGCTGTGAGCCAGGGCGGGAGCTGCAGGGATTGGGGTGGGGGATTCTAGAAGGTTGAAATGACAAGACTTCATGTGCTGTGTGGACAGGCCAGCAGGGAGCAGAGGACGTGGGAGACTCCTCCCTAACACACCTGGCAGGTACATGAGGACAGGGACCATGTCTTCTGTACCACGTCAGTTGGCACACACGTAATATGTGCTGTGCATTTAATGTTTGTCACAGAATCCAGATATGTCTGGGTAAGAATATGCATTCAGGGCAAAAGTATTATTAAATGGGATTGAGAATTCTTTTATACTAAAATAATGGTGAAGACAAACCAAAGATCTTTTCTTGTGCAGAAAGCCCCGGCAACAACAATTCCCTGTCCAAATCATTAAAAAAAAAAAATTTAAGGAAAAAAATTAGATACAGAAATTAACATTAAAATATCAGTTTCTAATTAATCAAGTAGACTTAAATAGAAGTCACAGACAACTAATTGATACTGTATTCCTTATAAAGATCATCTTTTTTAAAATCTGAAAGAAAAACTCAGTATGTGCAGAGACACAGATCAATGCTCAGTGAGTAAACAGGTAAAACTAAAACTAAAGTGAGACATAAGCTCACGGCTTCATAGCTTTGACTGCGTCATTATTTCCTTAAGGCGAAGGGAAGCAAATATTAACCTAGTTAGCGTCCATGATAAGAATTTTGTTTTCATGATAAGAAATCTTAGAAAAAAAAAAGAAAATGAAAATTCCCCAGAAATTAGAAATAAATGACACAAATAAAAGCAGAAATAATGCACTAGCAAACATAGTAAATTTAATGAGTACATCCTAAAACTTCATCTTGCACGTGAGTGGCAGGGTCAAGTCATCTCACATTGAAAGCCATCTCAAAAAATCATGACAGATTTGAATTGTTATCAGTGGAAACCTTCTGTAAACCCATAAAACCTCAAAACGAAAAGCAAACAGCCAACACCGTAAATATATCTATATCGGCAACAAATTGAACAGAGGTTTTAAAAAAGACCCTCTTATTTAGAAAACAACAGTGGTTACTTTTGCGGGGAGGAGGGTGTCATGACTGACATGGGGCCCCTGGAGATTCCACTGGGCGGCATCTGGCAAAGTCCTATTTCTTTTTTTTTTTTTTTAAAGATTTTTTTAATTTATTTGACAGACAGAGATCACAGGTAGGCAGAGAGGCAGGCAGAGAGAGAGGAGGAAGCAGACTCCCTGCTGAGCAGAGAGCCCGATGCAGGGCTCGATCCCAGAACCCTGGAATCATGACCTGAGCCAAAGGCAGAGGCCTTAACCCACTGAGCCACCCAGGCACCCCAAAGTCCTATTTCTTGCCCGAGCAGAATAGCCTCATAATAATTCATAAAGCCACAATTTTTTAAGCTGTGTGGTTTTTCTGTTTCTGCTTTATGTTAAAAATATTAAAATAAAAGTGAAGAAGCCAAAAACCCCAAAGGTAAAAAGTACTTTGAGACAATTTAAGAAAAAAAAAAAAAAAAAGCAGCTAATAAAGATAAAGAGATTTGGTCTTATTTGTAATTAAAGTAATTCAAAATAAAACCTCAGTACTATACCACAGTTCAAAATATGTTGCCCAGTGCTGCTGAATGTGCATCAAAATGAGTCCGTCCTCCATACCAATTTGCACCTGCTTAAAAAACCAATTAAGCAATGCATATCAGGAGTAGTAAATGTTCCCGCCTAGCAACAGGGCCTCGGAAACACGGTGAGCCCCAGAATTCCCCCAAACCTCCCAAATTCACACATGCCATCATCCAAGCTTTTCTCCAAGGAGGTGGCATGGAATACCAATTCTCAAAGATTGTGTTGAGAGCTTACTCGATGTGAACCCATTCATGATACCTGCCAGTTCTCAGAAACCCCTCCTACTCGATCCACCCCGTAACCTTGGAAGCAGCCCTGTCCAGACCATGTGACCCCAGACCAGAGATACTAGTGCAGGGCTGGACACCCAGCAGATGCTGAGCTGAGCCGGGAGGAGGGACAAGGCCCATTTAACACCCCCAAACACTTGGCTGGTCTCTGAAACAGAGATGTACACCCAGAGAGTGGGCTGCTGCCTTCCAGCATGGTGGGTATAGAAGCAGAGAACATGGGTCAAGGGTGAGGGGAGAGCAGAGCTGGCTCAAAGAGGAAAGCACAGATGAGCACGGGGTAAGACTCCCTGGTGTGGGATCCGTGGATACACGTCATTATCACCGAGGCAAATCTGTTTCATTAAACTTAAGCCAAGCTCTGGGGGGATTCTATTGTTTGCAGTCTGTTTGCAGAGGCGGATATCTAGACTGGTGAAGAAGAATGGATTCATCCACAGTAATCAGGTTTCTCTACTTCAGGGCTTCTCACAGATTTTCACATGATCACATGCGTTAAGAACAGTCAAGAACAGAATAGAGAAAGAGCATTTCCCAAACCTACTGGACCCCAGCAGCCCTTTTCCATGGAATATTTACTTTTGCGCTCATCAAATATTTACTGAGTGTTTCCTATGTGTGAGCATCATTCTAGAAATGAGACATAGAGCTGTGAACCAGGAAGGAAGGATGCCTGTCTACCTTCTACTGGGAACAAACCATAGGCAGATAAGTAAGCAAGGTAATTCCCTGCAGCGATGGGAGCCAGGAAGAAATTAAACTGGCTGGTAAATTTTTTTAAAGTTTCAAAAAAGCTTCACGGTGACTCTTTCTCTCCCAAGAGGCCAAGTCTGTTTCCCGACTCCTTGAACGTGGGCTGGTCTGGAGACCAGCACTGACCCAGGGCACAGGGCGGAAGTAGTGCCATGCTGGCTCCAAGCCACACCTCGGGGCTCATGCTCACCTTGAGCCCCACGTGAAGGAGCTCAGGAGAGCCTGCTGGAGGAGAGGCCGTGGAGATGTACGTTGGTTTATCCATTCACCCATCAATAGACATTTGGGTTGCTTCCAGCTTTTGCCTCTTGTGCCTAATGCTGCTATGAACACGGGTATACAAATATCTCTAAATCTCTGCCTTCAAATCTATTGGATAAATACCCAGAAGCAGAGTTCCTAGATCACAGGGTACTTCTATGTTTAATTTTCTGAGGCCCCTCCATGCCATTTCACAGAGAAGCTGCACCAGTGTGGATTCCCACCAACGGTGCCCCAGGGGTCCAATCTCCCCATATCCTTCTCAACACTGGGTACTTTCAGTTTTGTTTTGTTTTTTATAACAGCCCTTCTAATGGGCCTGAAGTGGTCTCTCATTGTGGTTTTACCAGTGGCTGTTTTCAGCCCCTGGGTTTTGGAGTGGTTTCTTATAAAACAAAGGCTAACTGGTACAGAAATCTTTTGCCTAGAGGTCAGGCCCCGCAGTGGCCAAAATCTAACACATGCGTCATTGACCTTGGGACTGGGTAATAGGTGGAGGTCAGAACAGTCCCGAGGAGACTGAAGGCCACAAGCTGGGAAAAATAGCCAACACACTGTTAGTGGAGGGTGGGAAAGGGGCCACACGTACTAGGCAGTAGCAACACAAGAGGAAAAAATTGCCACTTGTGATGACGTACCCAGAGAATTTGCGAATCTGCCTGAAATGACTTCCGTGAAGAAGGTTGTTTAATTGGTTAATCAGAATATGATGAAACCCCAGAAGACAGGCATCCAATAGGACCAGAGAGACAAGGAATGGTTCAGTTTACAAGTGGAATTGAGTAGACACACAAGACTGCTTCTCATCTCTACTCTTGCCAACACACAAACAGTTCTCAAAGGAAAAAAGGACCTCAGGGTAAAGATTACATTAAGGGTGTGCCTGGCACTCTTTGTTAAGACTTCCTAAAAACCCAAGGTGGTGCCCAGTGAACTTCCTTGGCCAGACAAAAGGACTTCCAAGAATCTTGAAGGCATCACCACACGTCCCCACTGACAGTCATCTAAGGTAGAGAGGAGCTTGTCTCAGAAAAAGATTTGTCTGGTGGAGTGAACTATAATGAATTGAAAACCCACAATGTTTTTAAGAAAACTGTACCCTCTTTGACCAAAAGAGACTGAGCCGGTTCAAAATGAAAAGGGCCCCTGGCCACCAAATTTCTGTGGGTAGGAAAAAGGCAGCGAAAGGTACTTTGCTGCAAACATGGGCCATTTTTATGGAAACTCAACTATGTCTCCAACTGTCAAGCCAAGAATCCCCAGGGTAGTGCCTGAGCTATGCAAACAATGGTCTAGTGCCAGGGACAGGAAGCTTTTCTGCAAAGGGCCAGAGAGTAAATCTTGTAGATTTTATGGGCCACAGGTAGTCTCTGTCACATATTCTTTGTTTTCTGGTCATTGTTTTTATTTTGTTTTGTTTGTT